GCTTCCTGCTTCCAGGTCGTCACTCCTCAGTTTCCTGCTTCTAGGTCGTCACTCCTGAGCTTCCTGCTTCCAGGTCGTCACTCCTCAGTTTCCTGGTTCCAGGTCGTCACTACCGAGCTTCCTGGTTCCAGGTCGTCACTCCTGAGCTTCCTGGTTTCAGGTCGTCACTCCCGAGCTTCCTGGTTTCAGGTCATCACTCCGGAGCTTCCTGCTTCCAGGTCGTCACTCCGGAGCTTCCTGCTTCCAGGTCGTCACTCTTGAGTTTACTGGTTCCAGGTCGTCACTACTGAGATTCCTAGTTCCAGGTCGTCACTCCTAAGTTTACTGGTTCCAGGTCGTCACTACTGAGCTTACTGGTTCCAGGTCGTCACTACTGAGCTTCCTGGTTCCAGGTCATCACTCCTGAGTTTACTGGTTCCAAGTCGTCACTACTGAGCTTCCTGGTTCCAGGTCATCACTCCTGAGTTTACTGGTTCCAAGTCGTCACTACTGAGCTTCCTGGTTCCAGGTCGTCACTTCTGAGCTTCCTGCTTCCAAGTCGTCACTCCCGAGCTTCCTGGTTTCAGGTCGTCACTCCTGAGCTTCCTGCTTCCAGGTCGTCACTCCTCAGTTTCCTGCTTCCAGGTCGTCACTACCGAGCTTCCTGGTTTCAGGTCGTCACTAATGAGCTTCCTGCTTCCAACTCGTTACTACCGAGCTTCCTGGTTTCAGGTCGTCACTCCTGATCTTCCTGGTTCCAGGTCGTCACTACTGAGCTTCATACTTCCAGGTCGTCACTCTTGAGCTTCCTGGTTTCAGGTTGTCACCTCAGTTTCCTGGCTCTAGGTCATAATGCCTCTGCTCCGGCCGCTATGACTCCGGTCATCATTATTTACCTCAGCTCCAGCCATTGTGACACCAAGTCACTAGTTCTACTTCGGCTCCGGCCATAGTGACCCCGAGTCACATATTTTACTTCGGCTCCGGCCATAGTGACCCAGCGTCACACTTTTTACTTCGGCTCAGGCCACAGTGACCCAGTGTCACATGCTTCACTTCGGCTCCGGCCATAGTGACCCCGAGTCATCTATTTCACTTCAGTTACAGCTATAACACATAACTCTGTGTCATGCATTTTTACCTCAGCTATGGCCCAACACACATGCACCGAGCTCGCTTGGTTTTAACACCAGCTCCCCCACGCCTGCTCGATAGGAAGCCGGCATACACATGCACAACAGACTTGGCCGCGATGGCTTCAGGCCGCCTAGATCGGTCGTGCATGAGGGCAGACATGAACATAAAACATCACTCCTCATCCTCAAGGTCAAACACCGTGCTAACAAGACTCCCAACCCAGTTCGTCAACCGAACACCGAGGGGAGAGTAATGTTGGGATTAGGCCCAACTATGCACCCACAGGCCCAAGAGAAGGAGACATACCCACGTGGGCAGCACCACGTGGGCCAATGAGAGGCTTACATGTGCAGATATATGTCAGCACTTGGGGCTATAAATACCCCCCAACCACCTCCGAAGAAGGTAATTAATCTCTACGCTTCTCTCTCTGCAATTACTCCTTGAGAGCATCTCTCTCTAAAATATTGAGTATTGCTGACTTGAGCGTCGGAGTATTTTCCCCGAGAAAACAACCTCGGGATTTTCAGGTGTGGAAGCAGTTAAGGACTTTAACAGTGTTGGACTGCGAAGCTGCCCAAACAAGAACAAGGACAGGTGCAAGAATCTAATCGCCAGAATTGAGAAGCAAGGAGGTCGCAGGCAGCACAGTTCATTCGATTTTAGCTACAATCCTCTGAGCTACGTGCTGACCTTCAAGGACAAAGCGAGCCGGATAAACGAGATGCTGATTATTAGCTTCTCATCCGACTTTGTGCCTCGCCAGAGTAGATCGTTGGGACCAACTACAAAAACGAGCCTTCTATGTGGACAACGAGAGAGATTGTTCTGTACAGCTGATGGGCACAAATTCATTCGGTTTATTCCACTAATGAAAAAAATTTTTAAAATTTGGAGGAATATTATAATCGTCGAATCGAACATTGGAATAATAAATCTGGCTCCTAAAACTCCATTTTTTCTCTATATCATTCAAGAAATCAAAAGCTCGAATTTTTTCCATTTTCGGTACATTTTCTCACCCAATTTCCAAACCTTAGCTTCCTTTCTCTCTTCCTTTTTTCGGGTTTATGAGGGTTTTCTCATTTTTCTTTTCTGTGGAAAGAAAAAGAACCCAAAAACGCAGTGAGTATGATGTTTGATTATGTATTTTTTCTTGGATTGTTTGACAGAGGACAGGGAATTTTTCTGGGGTTTTTGTTTCTGGTTTTGTAAGCTAGTTTGGTGTTTTGAAGGGCATGAGAAGATTGGGTTTTCAATGGAGGCTAGAACAAGAACCGTATACTGACATTTTGAAGGCAAAAATGGATTTCACGAGGGAGAAAAACCTAGATCCCCGATTTTAAGCTTTTGAGCGGGTGAGTTTTCAAGGAAATAATTAGTCCATGTCATAATTAGTCCAGGTCAGCAAATCGGGTCATGTCATCAAAAAAATAATCCATATCAACCCACGTCACAAAATAGGATCCCACATGCATCAACTCAATAATGTATTAACATCACAAAAATAGGTTTTACAGTAGTTTCATGATGTTATACAATAGATTTGGAATAATTTATTTCAACCAAAAAGTAAGTGTTGTAATTTATCTTAGGTTAAAATCTTTTTTTGGTCATTGAATTATTGTACAGACCTCTGATTTGGTCTTTAAACTAAAAAAATTCTTGATTTGGTTCTTACTATTTATCATTTTTACCTCGATTTGATCCTTCCGTTAAAAATCCAATGATGTGTCCAGTTAAATAACGAAAAATGATGTCATGTCAAAATATTATGACACATCAATAACATGTCATTAAAACACGTCAGATTTTAGCCAACAAAAAAAAATGTGGGGCCCACCTCCTGCAAAAATCATTATCTTCTCTCCTTCTTCTCATTCACACCCTAGAGGCAAACACCAACAGCCATCGTTGGGTTCTTCAAACCCAACAAGCTTGGGTTCTTCGAAGGAACCCAGGTGCGAGTTCGAGGGAACCCAGCGCCTAGGTTCTTCGAACCCAAGTGTAGGTTTGAAGAACCTAACATGCTTAGGTTCTTCGAACCCATGCCTGGGTTCCTTTGGAACCCAAGCATGGGTTTGAAGAACC